TAGCAGCATGATCAAACACGTGTGAGTAGTACTTTGCCACTGCGCTGCACTTTGCGTGGGCAGAAGCAACTTCGAAGGAATTGTGTGAATCATTCACATACCTTGATGTCTTTGCAACCATGCGTGCTCCTGAATTTGCAAATTGATCAAAATGCAATGACATCGAAGGGTCGTGGAAACAGTAGACAAGACGCATGCCACCTTGCATGAAGGGTTGCACTCTGATAGACACTGGTTTCCCAGCAATTTGATGGTGGTAGTGCTTGAAGTGCTTGCCATTGAAGTGGAACCATGTCCGGGAACTGGTAAAGCTCGTAGAGCGATCTGTCCCCCAAGCAAATTGGTTCGGGGGCTCAAAGGTGACACACCGGGCAGTCAAGCTGCCAGCCGTCTTCTGGGCCGAATTCTCTTGACCGGAAGGAACTTGGGCAAAGGAAAATGAGCTGGCCTTACTTGATTGGCTAGTAACTGTTTGCATCTGCGTGATTGTTGACGTCACAGAGGTGAAAGCATGGTGCAGCCCCGCAATTGATCGCCCGGACGGGGCAAATGAACCTTTTCCGATGGATGTGAGCTGCTGTAGCCACTCGAATTCAAGGCCATCTCCAAAGCCTATTGCATGCACTCGCAGGCCTGGGTGCTCCTCGAGCATTGCCTGCACTGTCTTGAGCATCTGGACACCGTCGGCAGGGCGCCCATCACTAAATATCAGGAGGTGGGTTGAGGCAGGCAAATCCTTGCGGTCTTTCAGAATACGCCTTGTAGTTGTAAGGGATTCAAGAAAGTGCGTGCCATAAGCCGCAACAAAGCCAGGGGACCGCTTGTGTCTGAACTGATTGAAAGCTTTTGCTGCAGGCCATCCAATGAAGTGGGTGCGACTTTGTTCATTGAAGGATATCAAAGAAAACTTGTGTGGGGAAGCCAATTGGCACTGCTTCTGAAAAAAAGCTGACAGCGACACTCCAACTGCAGACATGCGCGACACCCAAGTGGCACCATCTTCAGATTGCGCGTCCACATTTCTCATTGAACCAGATGTGTCGACCAAAACAATGATGTGGGCTTGCGTTAGTTCTGGAGACGTCTTCTTGAATAAGTTGGGCGCTTTCTTGGTCCCAAAGGCCTGGAGTGGAGCCACTGTGTCACCCTCGCTGTCGATGTCACTGCTCTCAGAGCTGTCAAGCAAATCATCTTTGGACCCACTTGTGTGGTGCTTTTTTAGCTCCAGGGCTTTTCGAGCAACCTCCTCCAACTTGCCATCATCGGAATCACCTTCTGCAGAAACAACATCTTCCTCAAGGATTTCATCATGCCAAACCTTGCCAGCGTAGACCTCACCATCTTCCTGGTGACTTGCATCGTACTCATTCCAACACCTCTCGCAGTAGAACTGTCCTGACTTGTCACACCATCCCTGGAAGAAATGTTTGCAAGAAGCACACAAATCAATTCTTGCTCCAACGAAGACCGGAGGCTCTTGCTTCAGTTTCGCTGGCTTTGCTGTGGATGCCGCTGTGGGCTTTATTGAACCGTCCAATTTCCCAAAACGTGTCGGCATTGCTAGCTTCTTACGCTTCCGAAGTAAACAAATCGCACCTAAATTCATCTACATGCTACCTGTTTTTGTCCGTGCGAACACATGAGTACAGCATGTCACTGGACTATATGTTATCTAACGCTTTCTGCCCAGACCAGGATACCAGCCACAATGCACGTGGCCACAGCACCTTCTCCTTTGAGCCAAAGGCACACCAACTTTTGAGAACACATCGATGCATGTAGGCAAGCTGGTTAAAAAAAAAAACTGCATCATTAGGCCACATCTTACTCTTGTGTACAAACCATGTGTGAAACAAACTCAAAGTTGCCTAACTACAAGTGTTGAAGAACCTGCAACAAAATGAACACCAAAACATTTTGCTGGGAGACGCCGCCGGTGTATGCCAATCAATTTCAATTGTTCACCTTCGCGACCTTTTTCTTCTCAATAGCAGACGTGATGCACCATCCTCTACCTCGCATCTCAGGACATGGGACGGTCGCCGAGCTCAAATCCCTCAGCCTCATCTTTTGGCCTGCACGCTTAAAGTCTGCTTCGACACTCTGCAGAACCAACTTTGCAATTTCTTTGGCCGTCATTGGCCTCCCCAAGGTTCTCGATCAAAACATGTGGAAACATGTGGAAACTTGGGAGGCCTTGCCGTGAGTGCTGAAAGAAAGAACGAGTGCACACGGCCATCTTGGAGCTGGAACATGGGCACCAACGATGAGACGAACACAAAACAACATGTTGCGAGAGATGTGCTTTCACAAAACGCATCAACGCATCAAATTAATTCCTCTTGGAATTGTGGTGTTTAGGAGACTAAGTGCATTTCCCCAAAGCACAACAAACAAAAAGACTGAAGGGGTATATCAATATCAACATACATGTCGAGAGTCGAGAAACACGCAATGACATCAACGGATCCGTTGACACGGGCGTGACCTTGTTTTTGTTATTGTGTCATTGCTACTAGTAATTGTTGTTGCCCTTCGGTTGATTCCTCCAGTTGTCGCTCAACATCGTTTGTTTGTCATTGCGACTTGCCTGTTGTCGCCATTGTGGCTGGTCATTCATGTCGTCAATTGCATTCAGTTGTTAATTTCTTACTTGGCTTGGCCCACTTGGACAGTGGGACATCAAGACCTGGACAACACACGCGCTCGTGGTGGTCACCTGACACTCAGCACATGTCAGCACACGAATTTCGGCTACCCGAAACCAGTTGGAGTCTGTCGGGTGGAGCACAAAAGAACATCCTCAAAAGGACACAAGGTCTGTGAAACTGTGCAGTGTACATGTTTGGTCTCAAGGTTCACCCTCCAACTAAAAAAAACTAGGGAGTTCAACCGTGGCCACTTGGCAAGGGACAGATTGGCTTCAGGTTGCCTAACATTACATCACCCAGACCAAGTATAGGTCCAAACCGAGACTCGCAATCCTTACCGTACCAGTAGGTCCGTTGTTGGCTTTCAAGCTTGATCCGCGGCCAAAGCAGGCGTTCCGCCTATGCCTTTTTCAGTGGGTCTAAGGTTCGACTGACCTACTTTGCCAACCTGGCTTAAATGCCGTTTGGCACGGCGGTCTTGTGGCTACAAGCCCTCCGCCCGTTGCCTGTTCTTGTTGTTGCTGCTGGCAACCATTGTGGCGACCATTGTTCGCTGACCCTCCCCGTGCCGCCAGCCACTTCTTGGCAACCAAGACAAAAGCGCGCTTATGCAGCGCATCCTGCTTCTTCAGCAGGTGTCTTTGTCTTACTGGCTCCAAATAGGGGTCGGCGGCACCTGGGCGTTGGCCCATTCTATCCGGCGATGGCGTCCCGGTGACCATATCAAGCATACGAGTAGCTTGCTATACGGAGACGCCCCCGATGCCGCCAAAAACACAGGGAAAATGATCAAATATGGCCACTGATGAAAAAGTAGCTGCCAAACCTCTTAGAGAATAAAGCATTGAAAATTGGATACAAACTTAGAGGAGAAATTCGGGTCGAACATCATTATCAGCAGAGTCTCGGCAGGAAAGATGCAAATTCTTTGGGGCACGACTAGGCAAGAAACTCTGGAAATTACAGCGTTTTTGCAACATGTATGTAGTTTATGAACAACGTTGCTCGTATTGTGGTGATGCCAATGGTGCTTGACACAACTGCTACCTCAAAACTTCCTCTCCTCTTAGCATATTTTCTTCTCTAGAGATAAGGCTTTACAGTAGCCATTGTTTACTGTGATTGTGACGTGTTTTTGAAGAAAATACATACCTCCCGGACCATCCCTGTGATGTTCAAAATGTCGGTTTCGTGGCCGACATTTCAAAGCACCACCTTCTTCATGCTTCTTCCAATATCAGGACATCGGCAGTTTTCTTGACCGTTTGGCCGGTCCAAAGTGGTCATGAAAAATGTCATCAACATTCATCAAAAATGTCTTCCAAAGATGTCTGGGCAGCACATACACGCCATCCGCCCACGGCTCTTGCGTGCGTGTGCGCGAGTGCGTGTGCATTCGTGAGGGTGTGCACAAAGCTGGTGTTGTTGCAACAAGAAGGTTCTGAACTCATTTGGCTAAAGGTATTTCATGGAGTTGGCTTCGTCCCAGTAACCTCAAAGCTAGGCACCACACCCCAACCTTTTATATATTCTTTCCCAAACTGTTCCACAGGTCACAATATTGTGAGAACAACAGCGTTGGATAATATTGCATGGTCAGCGCTACGAAGCCTCTGTGCCAAGCGTGACCTCTTCAACAAACCAGCACCTATGTTTGCATGATGGACGCAAGACCCAATCGAATCGCTGGGGCCCTGGGGTAAAATGTGGTCAAACGATGATAAAGGACGCAATAAGTGCGTTTACGTCGTCTTTGCTGTGCAACTCCCTGTAGATACCCTTCCCTGCGTTTCCCTGCATGCCGGTGCGCGTGCAAGTGTGCTTGTGCATACGCATGTTTGAAGTTGAAGTTCCCAGGCTTTTTACTTCTGACCCTCCTGCAAACACCTGTGTCGAAGTCTGTGTGCGCGGGTGCTGTGCGAGGAGCCTCCGCATGCACGCAGTCCGCCCACGGGCATCGCCGGTCGGCAAAGCCTGTCAGTTTCAGCATTTCCTTATGCGATTGCAATCGCACACTGCCACAAGAATAACACAGTCCGCACAAGTATTTTGCCGCTGGACCCGCCTTGCAAGCCCTCCATCTACATCCGGCGTTTGCAACTTTCAACCGTGATTACTGTTGGGTCCTGTAACCAGGCTCCATGCATCGTGGCCTGAAACGCCTTGATGGCTCATGCACCTGAACATGTTAACATTGCAATTACTGACAAAAACTACAAGACAAGACATGCAGAAGCTTTTCTCGTGTTTCTATCAAAGTAGGGTCAAAAGCGGCCGGAAAAGGAATGCTAGCGTATGAGTGTATGCGGAAAAATTGATGAGCGAAGAGTGGAAGTAAAATTGTGACCACAACATATATAACATAACATGAGTTCGTGAGTGAGTATGAGTGAGTGCAAGTGAGCGTAAGTGAGCGTAAGTGAGTGAGAGTAAGAGTGATGGGGAAGGTGGGAGGAGTAGAGGGAGGACAGGGCGGCTGATGCGGAAACGGACGGGATGCACAGCAAAAGTAAAACCCCCACACAAGAGGTGGGAACAACTTATGACTTAGTTGTCCTATCATTTGTCAGCTGATGTCAGCTGTGATTGCTGGCAATTGATGCGTCGTACATCTGAAACTTGAACCAGCAGCAGCTAAGCAGTTTGCAGTTTGTATTCATTCACGCTGACAACATCGATTCTTGCGCCAGCCCTCGTCAGCGCCAGGGCTCTCTTCACACTTGAGCGCTGAAAGGCACCAACTGTCAAGCACCTTTTGAACCGTTGGCTGACTGCGCAACCTAGTGATATCCATTCGCTTATCTGTTAAAAACGGGCGAAGGGGACCGCGATCGTGGAACAATCAAAACAGAGACTCCGTCGCTGGTCGATGACGACTTTGATCTGAACTCAGCATCTGGCTCTCTCACATGCACCCGAACAAAGAGCGGCTGGCAATCACAATGCTTCAACGCCCAGAGCCTTCGGTTGGACAAGGATCGCCAAAAACCATTGTGCCACACGACATCCAGTGGCTCTAACTCTCTCAAGGGGTCGATCACCTGCTGATTCAGATCATTCAGAAGTTGGTAGATCTGCCTTCCATCACGGAATGTCGGGCTGATCCTCTCCTGTGTGAAGCGCAACTTCCGCGGATCCATCTTCCGCTCCACGCGGTAGAAGTCCACATTGGGCTCGGACGAGTCTTGAAGCAAGTGCTGCTCCTCTTCCGGAATCGCGAAGCGAGACTGGATTGCTTCAAGAACCATCGCTCTACATGAAGCCATGAGAGAAAGTTTTGAAGCACCAGGGCCATACACAATGGTTTTCTTTAACTGGTGGTCAACTGGGTCGCCTGGTGTCTCGCGACTTGTCACTGCAAGGGTTGTCACTGCAGGTCTCACAGAGCTTGTAGATGCCTGCGGGTGCTTGTTTCCTCTTGTGGACATGTCATGTCACCTCTACAAACACTGCTGTGCACAAAAGCCCTATTAGAATCTATTAGTATGGATCGATCTACTACGTACAGTATTCTAAATTAGAAACAATTGAAATCATTTGGATACTCATCAACCAAGCCTCGTCCATCGGTTCAGTGGCTGTCACAGGTGCATCCTCGAGTTGCTTGCGAATGGCAAGCGGTTTGTCAGCTGCTTCAGCATCCAAGCAATGTTGCACAAGGGTCCGAGTGCCCTCTCTCACCAAGGCCTTGTCACTTGAGCTGTGCATCTCAGAAGAGGTGGTTCCAAGCTCGCAGCTTGGTGGCCTTCTTGCCCACAGCCTTTCAAAATCCGGTCTTCCAGCTGCCGATCGAGCTATGAGTGCCGAGAGTGGACCGGGCTTGGAGGGTGGAGGTCGGTTCAGCAGAGCCTCCAAAGATGATTCCGAACTTGCAGCCACTTCTGGACGTGGCTTGGTCTTGACATGCACTGCGCCTTCCAGAGGGGTTGGTGGAGATCGCACGTCGGATTTCCGGAGGCATGAAATGCTTCCAGTGTGGCCTCGGGAGCCTCCAGATGCATCCACTGCAGAATTGCTGGGGGAAGGAGTCAAACCTGCACTGGTTCCCTTGCGCATAGCCTGGCGCATTCTCTTCCATGCATGCGGATCAAGGCCCATATGCCTGCAAGTGGGGCCACACTGGTGCGACTGAAAAAAGGCACGCATTCCCTTGTCACCCAAATCGCCCGGCCCAAAGGCCTTGTCCAATGACACGACTTGAGGATCGGTTAGAATCAAATGCGGTCGGTATCTCTGGGCTTTGCCCAAATAAACACCTTGCAAATCCAAAACCATGTGTTTCCCGCCACTCGCTTGAAATGTGAAGTGTGAGAACGCTTGAGCGATTTCCGAATCCGGTGCATCAAAATTCACATACCCATGATTCGAGTTGTATTTGCAAAAGACCCCAGGCAGAAAGCGCTCTCCAATCACAAAGGGTGCTGGAGCTTTGTCTTCTTCTGCCTTGTACACATACGAAGTCACAAACATGAGTTTTAACATGCCGTTACCAGTACTGCCAAAACGTTCCACAGCTGCAAGCTTGAAAATACGCGCGTAGAATTTTGCAACTGCACTGCTCTTTGCATAGGCCATAACAACTTCAGAGGAGTTGTGACAATTGTCCACATATTTTGAGATCTTTGCCACCATGCGCGCATCTGTATCTGTCAGATTGGTGCGATTGGAATGAAGCCTTATTGAAGGATCTTTGAAGCAGTAGACAAGACGCATCCCACCTTGCATGAAGGGTTGCAATCTCATGCTCACTGGGCTTTCCCGGAGTTCATGAGAGTCTTGCTTGAAATCTCGTCCATTAAATCGAAACAACCTACGACAACTTCGAAACTTGATTGAGCGCTCTGTATTCCAAAGAAACTGGTTTGCTGCTTCGAAGGTGAAAGAGCGTGGAGTCAAGCTGCTTTTCTTAGATGCGTTGTCTGGTCCTGAGAAACCTTGAGTGAAGGAAAAGGCACTGGACTTGCTAGTTTGACTGGAAACACTCTGCATCTCTGTAATTGTCGAAGTCACAGATGTGAAGGCATGATCCAATTCCAGAACAGATCGACCGGATGGAGCGAAGGTCCCCTTTCCAATTGACGTCAACTGCTGTAGCCACTCAAAGTCCAAGCCATCACCAAATCCGATTGCATGTATTCGCAAGCGGGGATGCTCATCTAGCAGTCTCTGTACCGATTGAATCTTCTGAGTACCATCAGCAGGCCTCCCATCGCTGAAAATTAGGAGGTGGGGTGTATGTGCAAAATCCCGCCGTAGGATATTCCTTACAGCTGGCAAAGATTCCACAAAGTGTGTACCATCTCTCGCAACAAAGCAGCTGGATTTGTTCATATATTCCACCGACTCTGCCGCTGTCTTTCCAACAAAATGGGTGTAACTGTCTTGACTGAACGAAACCAGTGAAAAATGATGTGGGGAAGCTGCTTGCTTTTGCTTCTCAAAGAAGCCACAGAGCGATTCTGAAACTGCAAGTATGCGAGACAATGACTTGGTGCCTTGTTCCGGTTGCACGTCAAGGGTTCTCATGGAGCCAGATGTGTCCACCACCACGATAATATGTGCTTGTTGCAGTTCTACAGGACCGCTACCGATTCTAATCAATGAATCAAATGCTTTTCTGGCACCAAAGTCTGCTGAAAGTGGAGCTACCGCGTTGTTTTCCTCGTCACAATTGTGAATGTCATTAGCATCATTGTATCCCAATGTCTGGTTTGGTCGTAGTCTCAAGAGCGTGCTTTTTGTAAACTCCATCACTAGCTCTCCATCATCATCAGATCCGCTTCCATCATCCTGGTGGCCTTCCGCCAGGATAGCGTCATGCCAAACCTTTCCTGTATAGTCCTCACCATCTTCCCCTTGATAGGAATCATACTCGCTCCAGCATTGCTCACAAAAGAACGCCTTTGACTTGTCACACCATCCCAGACTCTTATTCTTGCAGCGCCCACACTTCCCAACCCTTACTCCTGATCCACAAGGCACCTCCTGGTCCAACTTTTGCTCCAACTTCCGGCTTCCCCTTGCCGTCGGCATCAGCACAGGCGAGCCTGCGGTGTTTCTGATCTACTTGCGTGAAGCAGCTGTCCATCAAAACTCTGATGACTTTGATATGTGTCGATCCACCATGTCTATAGGGGGGTCCTAGTTCTCTGGATTGTGTTGTGTCCATCTGTCCTATGTTCTACATTCCACGGAACTGAGCCAAAGTCATTGGCCATCACACCTTGTCATCCCCTTCCTCCAAGCTATGCCAAGCAGCACCTCCCCAAACATTTGTTTGCCCAATAGCTTGTGGCTGCTCAGCCCCATGGTGCAAAGTAGAAGTACACCTGTGCCCTCTTGAGATCAACACAGGTTCTTGCAACAAACCATCTCCTGTTTTCACCGTCGTTGGAAGGGGACATTGACAATCAATGAGATGGAATGGTGCGTTGCAGCGGAGTCTGAGAGCGCCTTGAATCAGGGGCGCTGGTCACCTGGTGGACTGGTGGACCTGCTTTAGCTGCGAGCTCCCGCTTTCACATCAACAGAGCTAATAGGAATGGCTGAGGAATGAGGTTCGGAATGGCCGAGGAAAGGAATGATGAATGATGAATCGTTTTGATCTGGCGACACATCCATTCCACATGTAGTTTCCTCTCTGGCAGCTGCCCCCAATCCCTTACCCTCCGCCCACTCTGTTTGATCCATTTGGTCACTCGGATCACTTCATTTCGCATCGAAGGGAGTCTATTCGGCACTGAAGCACCGAGCTCGGACTCGGACGCTCCGCGTCGGTCCGACGGTCTGCTACGAGAGGTGACATCTCTGAACGGATTCCTCCTCCTCATGCACCCCATTGGCCTCGCGTACCCACACGTTCGATCAAAGTAAGACTGCTTCTGTTTGATGCTGGTTCTTCAAAGTGACCTTTTATATTCTTAGTTTAGGGTCATTTAGGCCTGTAAAAGGTCACTGAGGGACTCCTAAAAGGTCACTTAAAAAAAGGGAGGATGCTTTCTTTCTTGCTCAAGGCTCAATGTTTGTTTCAACATGCCTTTGATCGTCCAAAACATGTCAAGCGAAACAAAGTGGCTTATCCAAGCCTGGGAGATCACCCTTCCTGGCGTGTGCGAAGGCTGAAGAGCAAGACCCCTTCCCTCAAGAGGATCAAAGTAGATCGAGGGTCGTAACGTCGCCGATCAAACAGGATCAAGACAGGGTTGTCCATCCAAACAGGCCAATGCTATGAGTCTTGACTCTGTCAAAGGCCCCACAAGTCGACCGTTTGAAGCTGCTCACGTTTGCTGATCAAGACAAGTAGTTTTCACACCAGTAGTTTCATCATCTCACGATATCTCACGTTTGCGGCCTCTATGAGGTTGCGCCTTGTGCTTGGCCTCAAGCATTGGATCAAAAAAGACCAAGGACGGCAACCAAAGATCAGAACTTACACTATGGCGTAGAATGAATTAGGGTGTGGGCAAAGAGGTACATGCTTCTCAGCATCTGAACATCTCGAGAAGCACCTGTCATACCACCTGTATACACCTGTCATTAGCATCTATGACAGCCGATTGAGCAATTATCTTCAAGAGTTTCCTAGCATTGCTTTCTGAGTTATGGAAACTGTTCCGGTTTCCATCAAGAGCACAATCAAGTCGTGGGGGGGTAAGGCGGGTAAGGCCGGTGACTCTCTTAAGAAACAGAAAAGGCTGAGGCCAAAGCCTGAGATCTGTCAACACTTGACTCTCTCGAATTCTCCTTGGCAGTGAACTGTTCAAAGAGCTGCTCCAACTGCTGCCGCTGCAGCGGGCCCAACAACATGTTGAATTGATAGACACCCAACACTTCTCATGCTGCTTCTTGTCAAGATGCTTCTGCAGGCTCCTGGCCCAATGCAGCAGCCGCCTCAGTGCTTCTCGTCTCCCTACGAGTCGGTGAAGTTGCAGCGGCTCGATGTGGCTCAGTGCATCGCCAGTACGGTGCCGATGTCGTGGCACAGGGTCACGACCTCAGCAAGGTGTCGTTTCGTGTGTTGAAGCGCGGTGTTTCGTGGCATGGAGATGCAGCTTCACTTTCAAAGACGAAACCTCGCTGGGGCCGGCGACGAAGCATAGAAAACCCCAAAGCCCTGTGATCACCGCCTTCAAGGCTAACCAGATTGGCATCGCCTCCAGGTGCGGAAGCTTTTTCTTCGATCCGATTTCGAGGTGGTGCTTTTGAACTGGTGGACAGTGACACATACTGACACTCTAAGAGAGGCTTGGCATCACTGCGCTGCAGGAGTTTGGCATGATCCAGGCATGAAAGTACTTGGTGATCGAGTGAGAGTGCAGCAAAAAAACTACTTCCTTGCTTCACCAAAGAACCCACGGCAAAAACCCATTCCGTCCTGTCTGCTGGGCGGCTCGGCTTCGGCCTTGAACAGCCATCTTTCAGCAAGCAGAAGTGGCCAAGAAAGGATAGACAATAGACAAACAAGTAGACTAAATAGTAGAATGTACCAATGTCTTAGATTGTCTTCTATGGACAATCTATTGTCTATTAGCCAATGTCTCTAGTAGACTAAGGTACATTGGCTAAATCACTCAACTGTCTTGCTTCTACAGTACATGGTAGCAGTTCTGAAGTCCAGCATCTATCATGCAGCGCCTCAACGGGAAACTCCGCCAGCAACCGTTTGGCCTAAGGGCTAAACATGCCGATAGGCCAGCACATAGAATTCTTGGGGTATGGTGGCAGGAGTTGCTACACACAATATATATATAGTTATATATTCATAGTTACTGTAGACACATATGCACACATATTATAGAGATCTTAGTGAAAGCTGATATGAAACATGCAAAACACTCTAGAGAGGTTGCATGCCACAAAGCTACAGGTGAAGTGAGAAGAGACACAAGAATCACGCAGCTCACAGGGCTCAACCAACTTTGCTCGTTCAGGTTGCATCAAAAGGAATGACCCGATCATACATATCTATATGAATGATATGTATGGATACTATGAAGTTGCAACATGTTGCAACTAATTACACCAAATTTAAAGGTGCCTGCCTAAATGTATATCCATGGAGCCAATCAATATGTTGATGATTTGCAATTCACGTGATCCCATTACATACCATGCGATCTACATCTTTCCAACAACAGACTGGCCAATCATCAGTGGGCAACGCAATTGCCAAAATCCATGTCGACTACCAGGTGTTGCTTCCAAGATAGACCCAGGACTGCTTCCATGGTCATCTGAAAAAAAGAACTCTCACAGAGTCCCAGAGAAAAGTTCAGTTCAGTTCAGTAGGCTTCTCTATTTTCGCCTCTCGTTTCACACCGACTTCGGCCTCTCGTTTCACATCCCGAACCACCGACCGAGACTTGGCGGCCCGCGCCTCGGCGGCCAAGCGCCTCAGATCGGAACGGCCCGCCAGCCCTGCTTCGGCGTGTGCCTCGGCACGTGGCGAACTGATGGATGTGCGAACCACGCGGGTGAAGCGGAGCGGAGCGGTTCGTTTGAACAAAAGGCGGTTCTTGGAGAGTGGATCATTTAAGTGAACACACCCCAAGTCTGCGCTTTTTTCAGTCAATATGTTGACTTAGGCCGAAATGTCTGCTACAAGTAGCTGGGATGTTGGGATGATGGACGGTCAAAGATCTGCGCCACCTACTCGTGGGGGAAAACACCCAAGCTGAATCGAGCAAACAAGTCAGAAGAATACGTTGCCCAGTTGCTTCTCAGTCTTTCAACTAGTTGAGCTTGTGATTTGTGTCTTGCACTGTATGCCATCCTTGTCACATGGAGTGCCACGGATCCGTGACGTTCCCGTTCAAAACCCGTTACGGGGTAACAGACGGGGCTGCTAAGGCTGCGGCCAGGACGCGAACCAACGGGGCGACCCCTGGTCTTACTGCTAAGGTCCAAACGCCAGAGATAGCAAGTAGCAATTCCCAGGCTCGGTCCTCACCGATAGGACGCCGGGATTTCGGGCGCGGGCAGGGCATGCGGCGCACGTGAGTGAAGGCAAGGGCCGGGCTGAAGGTATTCAGCCGGCAAAGACTGAAGGAATTGACCATCTCCAAACGATGTCTCAAATCATATAATATATGATGTCATCTCGGTGCACCAAACACTGAGACTGGGACTGGCATATTTACATAAATAAAGTTGTTGTATCAGAGGTTTGATGAGGTTTGTCTGCAGGCACATGCAAGCATATCTTCCATACGTAGACTCCATGGAGTCGCGGGGTTCTTCATTCCGTCGATGTCCTCTGGAGACCAAGCGGCAGTGGCTGCAGCCTATCACAAAAAGAAACACGCAATCTCAGTAGTCGTAGTCGCGCTTCATCTTTTGTGTGCAAACACAGAGTAGATCCCAAAGCGGATAGACCGGAACCCTCAACAAGGTTGCACCCAAATGTTAATCCACACTATTAAAACTATATACTCCCAAAATTTCGGGCATTGTCCGGCCTGTGCTTGAGCCTTGATCTGGCTGACCTGCGTGATGGGTGCTCAGGAGCATGGATATGTCAGCAGTCTAGGGAAAAAAATTGCAAAGCCTTGCCAAGCCCTCTTTTCAGGGTAGTACGTTGGGTACATCCCATTAACCGTAACAGTGGATGATGATGGTTGATAAAGGCCTTCTCTAAGATACTATAGTGATATGTTTTAAACCAACTGCTACAGGTAATAGGGCAAACCTGGACAAACCATGACAAACCCAAGTAGTACGCTTGGAGTACTAAGGCATGTTGCCACAGTCAGCATCAACTCATGCAACAAGGGCACATCTTGATCATGATCTCGCGTAGATCCATGGGCCTCCAGTCAAACATATGATTGCCAAAGACAGCGTCTGATCAACAAAAAACACAGACACAACATTCCAGATCAATTACAAATCACATTGTGTTTAGTATGTTTTTAGTGTTTCTCTGCTCTAAGGGCTCCAAGCCCCAAGGCCTGCGAACACAATATGCCAATCTAGCACTCACAATAGGTTAGTTGGCTTTAAGTGAATCATGATATATCATTACTTATCATTGCATGATGCTTGCCCCTTCTCTCTTCGATT